TTTATGAATCTAACTTAATAGTTATATTTAAAGAAGGAATTATGAAATTAAAATAATTAAAGGTTGGATAGATAGGAGATAACAAAAATAATAGAGTAGTTATTGATTTAGAATTTTGATATATATTAGTAGGAGAATTCAAGTGAAGACCAAGCTAGAGATTTTATTAAGAGGATTACCGCAATTTAAGGTAAGTTCTATGTCAACCAAAAATGTTTTATCTCGTACTTATATGTATGCAATATTTGAACTATGTGAATTATTTATGAATTCGAAACTATTTGTTTGACATGGAATGAATATTTTGAATGTATGGATATTGGTGGATTATTATCTATTATGGATTATTAAACGCATATTCTTTTTATTAAAGAATATTGGTGGATTGATATTTATTACAAAGTATATTTTTGGAAAGTGTGACAAGAATGACTTTGGGAAAAACTTAAAGTTTTTCATAATATATTTTTACGTCTCGAGAGAAACACGAGGCGTGGGTGATTAGGACTACTACTACTTTTGGTGAAATTTATTTGGGTCGGTAACCAGTCCGGCAATGACATGCTCTGGTAGACATCCTGGACTTTTATTTGAGGACCAAAGGTCCTTTGGTGGTGGTAGTAGTAGTTACCTAATTTACCCCTGGACAATGTCCCTTGTGAGTAGGTGGTAGAAAACATCCTGCCTACTTGGGTTTCTTACTACTCGGAGGGCTTGGAATCCCTTTTAGAGGGTGTGCACACTTAAGGTAGAAATTTAGCTTCCAATTGGTGGTCGATGCGAGCCGGAATTCCGGGATGAGTCGTAAATAACAATGACTCATTGGGCTCGAGGAATCTTGAGTTTCGCCCACTCTTAAAAGAAATCTAAAGTATTACTCTTGGTGGAATTGAGGAATGACATTATCTATTGAAGAAAGTATTTTGAGACATGAAGTTATTTTGGAGATATGAGAGGGTATTTTCTATATATATATATATATATATATATATATATATATATATATATATATATATATATATACACATACATATACCAAATCTATTTTCCAAATTATATTATTTTTACGGGTTCGGGTGGAATCTTACTTAGCTCTAAAGCTAATTTTTGTCTCTTTTGTCTTCTTCTCTTTGCTCTATTGTAGAGATGATTATGATTATGAAGATTGATGAACTTGTTGTCCGAGTGTTCCGCTAGTTTCACACGTTTGATTAATTATCGTTGTTTAAATTTGTAATTCATAAACTTTGTCCTAAGACCTACTTCATTGTTATATGAACTTATGGTGGATAGCATGTGCACTCAATTATGTATAAGTTGAGTGTGGCGGTGACGCACCTGTTTTTCCCTTAAAGACTTCCGCTGTACTCTAAATATGTTTAAAAGTAAAGATGGTTTCATTTAAAAATGTGATTTTATTTGGGTGAGAAAAATGGGGGTGTTACAAGTTGGTATCAGAGCCGTTAGGTTCTCCGAAGGGATTAGAACACGAGGTAATAGGTCGTAGGGAGAAGTTCTGTCACCAAGACGATAACAGTCTAAGCTAGTTGGTTCTTAATTGAGCTTTGCGCTCGTCCAACTAACTGGGAATTTCTCCTTATGCTGAAACTTCGTCGTTCGAAATCCTTGAAGGAAACCTTTGAAATTGTACCTCCAAATGGGAAATTTTCAAATATTTTTTAAACTAGGAGAAATAATATAGATAGGAAATTGCCTGTTAGGAACGTGGTGAGGACCTTGTGAGTAATTCTTTTCCTTGCATGTATGTGATAATTGTGCTAATTGTGAGCCCATATGAGAAATGAGAACCCTAAATGTTGAAGGGAATGCCTCATAAGGCAAAATTTCAAAGTGACCAAGGTATGTACAAACATTATGTGCAAAAGTGTTCTTATGTGAACTGTGAATCCTGTGTATGATTGTATGGTACGATTTTCATATTATCATGTTGTATAGCCTATGGAATCCTTTGTTGAAATAGGATCCTTAAGAGCAAAATAGGGAAATTCTTACACGAATATATTGTGTTATTAAGATATCATGGCACTGAGAAGAGACCCTCATAATACACCCACCAATGCTGAGCTGGCACAAATCGTCCAGCAACTAGCGCAGTTCATGCACACATTGGGTGCTACTGTACTCCAGAATCACCAAAATCAGAACAATGGAAATGATGCTGCTAAACGAGTAGCATCTCGCAACCCACCGAGCTTTCATGGGCATGAAGATCCTCGTATCCTCGAGGATTGGATCCAAATCTTTGACAAACTCTTTGATGCGGTGAACTGTCCGGAAGAGCAAAAAGTTGACATTGCTGTTTATTACGTACCAAAAGAGGGAGATAACTGGTGGGTCTCATCATGCCCAGCTCTACGTCAACAACTCAATTTCAATTGGGAAGCTTTCAAGATTTCCATGAGGAAACGTTTTTATCCTGCTCACGTTCAGGCCACCATGCATGAGGAATTCATACATTTGAAACAACTAGACATGAGTGTCCAAGAATATCACACTAAATTCCTGGACCTCGCACCATTTGCAAAGACAATAGTGCCTGATGAGAGCACCAAAGTCGAGAAGTTTATTCACGGATTAAACTATGATACTCAGAAAACCGTCGCTGTTTTTGGTTGCCAAACTCTAACTGATGCGTATGATAGAGCTGCAGTTCACTATCGAGTTCAGCAGTTACAAAGAGAGAGAAACCAGAAAATGAAGAGGTACGGAGATGAAGAGAGAGGTCGGGGAGAAAAGAGGTTTAGAGCGAACCCACCTACACAACAACAAGAACGGAGGGAGAGGAGAGAAGACCAAAGAGGAAGAAATTTCCGTGGTCAAAACTAGCAAAACGATCGGAGAGCTCCTCCTAGAGATAAGCATTTCTACTGCAAGAAGTGTGGGAGAGATCACCCTGCGGTTAACTGCGATGGGAGTCTAACCAAATGCTTCAATTGCGGAAAGCTAGGGCACCGATCTTTCGAGTGTCTATGAAAGACCAATGGGGCACCATTGAACCAGGTGCAATATCATGATGGAAACCAAACCGGGCCAAATGGCGGGCAAAACAACAACAATGCCGCCGCCATCAACAACAACCGCAACCCTCGAGGACGAGCGGAGAATAATCGCGGTCACGGTAATGGCGGTAACCAAGGACATGACAGGACCAATGGCAATGGCGGAAATAACGGCAGCCATCCAAACCAAGGGCGAATCATGGTCAAGAACCAAGTCCAAGCCAATGCTAATTATGTGGTCTCAGGTACATTCCTTGTAAATTCTGAGCCTGCTTATGTTCTATTTGATTCTGGTGCTTCTCACAGTTTCATATCTTCTAATTTCGTTAAGAGATTAAAGATTGAACCAACAACTAGAATAGACTTGAATGTAAGAATTGCCTCAGATAAATTTGTAACTTGTGGAAATGTATACTCCAACATTTCCGTACTCATATGCGAGTCCAATCTACCTGGAGACTTAATCCAATTTGACTTAGAAGATATAGACGTAGTACTGGGCATGGACTGGTTGGGGAAGTACAAATCTAGGATCCTATGTGATGAACACAAGGTGATCTTGAAGGGTCCAAATGGGAAGAGAATATCTTACAAAGCAATCACAACCAAGCCTAGTATGAAGCTGATGACTATGCGACAATTACGACAACATATTCAAAAGGGGTATGAAACCTACTTGTGTTTGATGAAAGAGGTGAATATAGAAGAGCCAAACATTGACCAAATTGTTGTAGTCAACGAATTTCCAGACGTATTTCCGGAAGAGATTCCGGGAATGCCGCCCAAGAGAGAAGTTGAATTATCAATTGAGTTGATGCCCGGAACTGCACCAATTTCAAAAGCACCTTACCGGATGGCACCAAAAGAAATGCAAGAGCTGAAGGAGCAACTGGAGGAGCTATTAGAGAAGGGTTACATAAGGCTGAGTGTCTCACCTTGGGGCACTCCGGTCTTATTTGTCAAAAAGAAAGATGAGAGTCTAAGGCTATGTATCGATTACCGGAAGTTGAATCAAGCAACTATAAAGAACAAATATCCATTACCCCGGATTGACGACTTATTTGATCAATTAAAAGGGGTTAGCACGTTCTCTAAGATAGACTTGCGCTCTGTCTACCATCAAGTGAGAATAGCCAAGAAAGATGTACCAAAGACAGCATTCCGCACGAGGTATGGACACTACGAGTTCACTGTGATGCCGTTTGGTTTAACTAATGCACCAGCGGTATTCATGGATCTAATGAACCGTGTATTTCGACCTTACCTTGATACCTTTGTAGTGGTATTCATTGATGATATCCTCGTTTACTCAAAAACCCCGGAGGATCACGAGAAACACTTGAGACTCACGTTGCAAACTTTGAGAGAGAACCAGTTGTATGCCAAACTCTCAAAGTGCGACTTCTGGCAGGATCAGGTAGCGTTCTTGGGTCACATTATCACCCAAGAGGGGGTATCCATAGATCCATCCAAGATTGAGGTGGTGATTGAGTGGCGTGCACCTACCTCGGTCACGGATGTAAGAAGTTTCTTGGGATTAGCCGGTTACTATCGGAGATTTGTTAAAGTTTTCTCCAAGATAGCAAGACCGTTAACCAACCTGACGAAGAAGACAACCAAGTTGCATTGGGATGAAGATGGTGAAGCAGCATTTCAAGAGTTGAAGAAAAGACTAACAACCGCGCCAGTCTTGACATTACCGTCAGGGACGGAGGGGTTCGATATCTATAGCGATACATCTAAGAAGGGGTTGGAGTGTGTGCTTATGCAGAATGGGAAAGTGGTGGCTTATGCATCGAGACAATTGAAGGTGCATGAAGTCAACTATCCTACTCATGACTTGGAGTTAGCTGCAGTAGTGTTTGCACTGAAAATATGGAGACATTACCTATACGGAGCACAATGTAAGATATACGATGACCACAAAAGCTTGAAATACATATTCACTCAAAAAGAGCTTAACATGAGGCAAACAAGATGGCTCGAACTTCTAAGTGATTACGACCTGGAAATCCAATACCACGAGGGAAAAGCTAATGTGGTGGCGGATGCTTTGAGCCGGAAATCTGAGCACTCATGCCGAGCAACATGGATATTACCAGAAGAACTGTTCCGAGACTTTCAAAGATTGAACTTGGAAGTAAAACAATATGGCGAAGTAGATAGTGAAATACAGTTATGTACTATGACCGTTACACCATCTATCTTCGAGGAGATCAAGAATGGGCAACCGGGAGATGTGAAGCTCGAGAGAATCAAGGAAAGAATGAAAGATGGGGTCAATGGACCATTCAGGACACATGAAGATGAGAGCATCCGATATAAGGGAAGGTGGTGTGTACCGCTGAAGTGTGCAGATATTAAAAGACAAATCTTGGAGGAGGGACACAACACTCCCTACTCAGTACATTCCGGGGGAGACAAACTATACAAAGACCTCAAAAAGAACTTTTGGTGGCCGGGAATGAAGAGAGAAGTAGCTGAATTCATATCTCGGTGTTTGAATTGCCAAAAAGTCAAAGCAGAGAGATGCAAACCCAAGGAACTTGTGCAACCCTTGGAAGTACCTAAATGGAAGTGGGATTACATCTCAATGGATTTTGTTGGAGTATTACCCTTAACTAAATCCGGAAAAGATAAGATTTGGGTAATCGTTGACCGATTAACCAAAACTGCAAGATTCATTGCCATGAATGAAACTTGGAGCATGGACAAGCTGGCCAAAGCCTATGTCAAATACGTGGTCAAACACCACGGAGTACCTCAAAACATCGTATCGGATCGAGATTCACGATTCTTATCTCAATTTTTGAAGGAATTACAAACGGCTATGGGGACAAAATTGAAGTTAAGTACTGCTTTCCATCCAACCACGGACGGACAAACCGAAAGAACGATCCGAACATTAGAAGACATGTTGAGGGCATATGTTCTTGAATTGCTAGGATCATGGGATGAACACCTAGACTTAATAGAGTTTTCGTACAATAACAGTTACCATGCTAGCATCGGAATGGCTCCGTACGAAGCTCTATACGGTCAAAAGTGTAGAAGTCCCTTATGTTGGGGTGAAATAGGCGATCAGGTGGTTCTAGGACCACAATACTTGCAAGATACCAAAGAGAAAGTCAAAGTCATCCAAGAGAGGATGAAGGCTGCCCAAGACCGACAGAAGTCATATGCCGATCTTGGGAGGAAGCCAGCTGAATTCGAGATAGGGGACAAAGTTCTACTCAAAGTCTCTCCTATAAAGGGAGTAATGAGGTTTGGGAAGAAAGGGAAACTAAGCCCGAGGTTCATCGGACCCTACGACATCCTAGAGAATGTGGGAAACGTGGCATATCGATTAGCCCTACCCACAGAGTTGGATAAGGTAACAAACGATTTTAAAATTAGATACTTTTCAACGATTAGAATTCATCCTTAACATACAGACTTGTGTTAGGTACATAACGTCTTTCACGTATCACAATTAAAGAATTACGTTTAAGATGAGTCACATATCATCAATCTGGAGGTAAGAGACCATAAACTTAACACGAAAGAAAGTAAATTGAAAATAGTATAAGTTAACCCTCATATTATTAGGTGATTGAAATGGATGAGACACTATGCTATGAAGAAAAACCCATAGAGATCCTTGATACTAAAACCCGAGAGACGAGGAAGAAGAAAGTTAAGATGGTAAAAGTACTTTGGTCAAACCATTTGACCGAGAATGCAACATGGGAGACAGAAGAGGATATGCGTAAACGGTATCCTGAACTGTTCAACTCAGGTAAATATTGGGTTACGAGGACGTAACCTTTCTTTTAGGGGGGCAGGTTGTAACATCTTATAAACCTGTAATACTTCATCTTCATACTTAATTCTCGTCTTAGTTTATACTTCGAGGACGAAGCATTCTTTAAGGGGGGTAGAATGTGATACCTTGAAAATTTGAAATAAATAAATATAAATAAATAAATAAATAAATCAGATAAGTTATATCTGATAAATCAAATGAAAGTAATATCAAAATATTTTGTATTATACTCGGTGTATAAAAATATATGCACACTACATGCAATAGAAATAAACACTTATGTGGCATCGGAAAAATAAAATAAAAATAAAATGGAAATAAATCAGATAAAATATAGATGACGGAATAAATAAATAAATAAATAAAAATAGTAAGAATATTAAAAATTACTAATGATAGCATCGAATTAATAAATGAAAATATCAGATCATAAAATAATGGCACATGCTAGGATCACCTACCAAATAATGTATATACATTATGTACATATATTTACATATATAATTATATATACTTATATGTAAAAATTAAAATAACATAAAATAAAATAAAATAAAATGAAACATCAATATAAATGGGAATCAAATCATGAATCAATACACATGCCATGTTCATCAACTACCAACCTATCATAGACATTATTATTATTATTTTTATTATTAGTATTATTATTATTCATACAATTATCAAATAAATAAAATAAACCATAAGGGCCATCTAGACCTATAAATACACCATCTTAGCCATCCCAAACACTGCAAATCGGAGTGATAGAAGCTATATATACATATACATATACATATACATATACATATACATATACATATACATATACATATATAATCTCGCCGGAAAATTTATATCTATATTATTTTACGTATCAATCTTCGTAAAAATGATAGAGGAGGGTCGTGAGAGGTCTAGGAATACTTCCCAATAAACTCCAGACCGATTCGTAGTCACCGGAGTTGCTTAGACGTCGCCGGAGTGTCAAGCCGTGCAAACGGGTTTTCAGCAAAAGCGGACATTTGGCCGTAGATAGGGGTGGAGGAGCTTCATCTCGACGTGAGGATCATTTTGCAACTTGAATCGTCGAAAACCGTTACCTATAAGTAAAGTTATCGCTCGCCGAAGTTTTCGTAATTCCGGTCGCCGGAATCGCGACCTAGAGAAGAACTGGGAAGAAGACAACCCAGTCTTTTTGGGTCGGGTCGCGTAACCGGCCCATTTCAAAATAAAATAAAAATAAAATAGTAAATGAAATAAATAAAATCCGGAAAAATATAAATTAAATACCTAGTATAAATATACATATTCGGACCAACCAGAATTGAAAAATAATATTTTTAACTATTTTTAATTGATTTAATTATAATTGGGCCAATTTGTACATATTTAGTAAATAATTAACTAAATGATGAAATAAATTATGAAACAATTATTGGAGTAAACTACATTAAATATATGACTAACTAGGACATTTGGGACCATTTATATTTAATAAAAATTATGATTAGTATATTTAATTGTAATTAAACCGGTTAATAGATATATGAGATTAAATGAATAAATTAGGAAAATAATTCTAAAATAAATATCTGGACAACCTAGGTCAAATATAGACCCAAAATATAGTCATGGACGGTTATAAATTTATAAAGTCGATTCTTGAGCTATTTAATTTAATTGGGCTATATAAAACTAGTTAAGTAATTAAATAAAAAAATTGAATAATAATGGTGAAATAAAAAACATAACTAAGATTGGAAATAATATTCTGGACTAAAATGAGGTTTGGAATAAAATAAGGAAAAGAAAATAAAGTTGGGATAGCTAGCATAAATGAATGACTATATTTGGACTTAATAAATAAATTATTGAATTAGTGGACTAATTAAATTAGTGTGATTAAATTAACAATTATTATCCTTGATTATTATTGATTTGGACTCCATATAAATTATTAAACTATTTGAACTCATAAAAAGTAGTTGATTAATATGAACAAATTAATTAAGTAATGTGTACTTAATAATTTAGTTAATTGACTTCATTGGACTAGTTTTACTAAATCAATTAGTTTAATGGATACATTAGTTAAATTATGGACGTGGTAATATTTTTGGACTTTATATTAAAAATAGAAAATTAAAACGAAATTAGAAATTGATTATTGGCCTTAATTGAATTAGATTAATGTATTTAGCTATATTGATATAATTAAACTTATTTATTTGATTGAGTTAGTTCAATTAAATTAGTGAATCAAATAAAAAAAACTGGAGGATTGAATTAATTAATTTAATTGGGTTAGTTAGTATAAATAAACTATGGAACTAATTAAAGTTGTTATTGAGATTAGATTATCATTTCGAATTATTTCTTACGTCAAATTATTATTAAAAGGTTTATTAAATAAATTATATAAATTATGTAAAGTGAATTTTGAACTGAAATTGATTATTTAAATTTGAAATAACTAAATTATTATGTATTTAATATAATTATACTAGTTAACTAATTAATCAAATAAATTGTGAGTAGATATTGGTCCACCTCACTATGCCCTTGGTCCATCTCATTTAATGACCTGGTCTGCTATTTAATTCCTCCTGGCCCGTTTGGGTTGTCCGCCTGACTCAGCCCACGTGCTCCCTTTTGTCTTTGCCCCAGCCCATGACTTTGTGGCCCTTCCCTTATATTGTCTGGTTCCTTCTGGAACTGCCTATTTGATCGCCCCTTCCCTCTCTCTATCCGATGCGTAGTCTTTCCAGTTACCCCAGTTCTAGAGTGAGAGAGTGCCGGTATCATCTAGAGTTTGAGCTCCGGCTACCCTCCGGTGATACCTTGGGGTTCCTTCTGTGGGCTTCACTCTGTGCTGGTAGTCTGGGGGGTTCTTCTCCGGTGGGTTTCTCTGGGCAGTCTGGTCTGGGAGGGTTGGCCACTAAACTGAGCATTTGAGACTTGATGCCCTCTGGTTTCCCTTGTTGACTCCTTGGTGGTGAATGGTGAGCTAGCCTTTGGGCTATGGTGATTGAGGTCTGAGCCGGTCCGGTAACTCTACATAAATTAAACTAAATTATGGAGAGATTAGTATGATTAAAGAAAATAATAAGGTTGTGCTGAAAATTAACATTTTAAATAAGGTTTATGAATCTAACTTAATAGTTATATTTAAAGAAGGAATTATGAAATTAAAATAATTAAAGGTTGGATAGATAGGAAATAACAAAAATAATAGAGTAGTTATTGATTTAGAATTTTGATATATATTAGTAGGAGAATTCAAGTGAAGACCAAGCTAGAGATTTTATTAAGAGGATTACCGCAATTTAAGGTAAGTTCTATGTCAACCAAAAATGTTTTATCTCGTACTTATATGTATGCAATATTTGAACTATGTGAATTATTTATGAATTCGAAACTATTTGTTTGACATGGAATGAATATTTTGAATGTATGGATATTGGTGG